GCCTGTGTCTCCTGTATGCTTAACTATTAAAGGAAACATGTGCCTCAAATAATCTGTCTCTGATAAACCTTACCTCAGGTTAAAAAATTTAAAAATATGTTTCAATCTCTCTGTCCCTCTCATTAGCACTAACTACTACAAGCAGAGTACTAAACATTATAACTGTCACTAATTTTCTCATGGCTGCTTCTTAATAAGTTCAATTTTTTTCTCAAGCTCCAGAAACTAGCTTAAGTCTGTCTGGTCAGGTTGGTTCTACTTCAGGTAAGTGCCAAACACAAACTTTCCAGGTCTGGGAACACTCCAAAGAAAATGAAAACAATAATAATCCTTTTTTCCTAAACTTTCTCTGTCTCACCAGCATCCTGTCAGACACAAAAACAGCCAGAGTGCCAAGCCGAGAGGGATGGACGGCTCCCAGGCCAGCAGGACAGACCACCATCCCAGGACGCCCACCTCCCGAAAAGCCAACTGACACCTGGAAGCAGTTTTTCTGGGAGAAACAATGCCCTTATTCCAATTCACTCGCTTTTTTATAATAAGCAAAAAGTCTGGAGAAAGATGGGGAGGAGAGAGAGAGCAGAGGGAAGGTGGGGTCTGCGTCTGGCTTTTAAGGACCCCTGGTATGGAGCTGCACCTCGCATGCACTGATTGTGTGACCATGCCTCATGTATGTAGTCAACAGTGCCCACTGATAACGTAGGATGCAAAACCCTGAACTGCATGTGTAGAGGAAGTAAGTACAGAATTCTAACAGATCTTGTGCCTGCTGTCACAATCACTGTGAATTCATATGTGTGACTGCCCTGGTGTGTTCAGAAAATACAGTTTCCACCACCTCTGGTTCTTACACAGCCTTTTGCTTTGACCCCTCTCGTTTCTCCAAGATCCTTGAGCCTTGTGTAGAGGGGTGTGGTATGTCCCCATGAGGACTGAGATGCCTCAGTCTCTTATTCTCAGGACGTTGGCCAGTTGAGCGACACTGTTGATTGTCACCTGCTGCAAGGAGAAGCATCTCTGACAAGGTTGAAAGATGCACAGATCTGTGGGGACAGCAGTGAAGTTATTAGAGTCACTTTAATTCCATGTCCATTAAGTAGAGGATGGGAGTGGATTTTCCCTGAGGGCGTAATTTTGTCCACACACAGGTTCTTGAACCCTTTAACAATGCCAAGAGTGGGTTTCATCTCATGGAATGGGCCTTAGAATTTTGACATTTTATTTATTTATTTATAATATATATTTAAAATGTTTATGTGTGTGGGTGTTTTGCTTGCATATATATCTGTGCACCACATGCATGCTTGGTGCTCACAGAGGCCAGAAGAGGGTGCCATTGTGGTGAGCCACAAGAATATGTGGATATAAGGAGTACAGCTGTATACAATAAGCTATACCTTGACTGACCAAGGGCCCTTCAAGTGGGAAGCCATTTATCATAGAATATTTGGTGTTATTCAGCTTTCATATTCAGCTGCTCATTGTGATGAATTTCTTTTTTTTTTTTTGACTTTTTTTTATTAAGATTTTTTTCTATTTGTTTTAAATATCAACCACGGATTCCCTTGTTCTCCTTCCTCCCATCCCCTAGCTTTTCCCGCCAACCCACTTTCCATTCCCGCCTACTCCAAGGCAAGGTCTCCTCTGGGGAGTCAGCAGAGCCTGGGATGATCAGTTGAGGCCAGTCCAATCCCCTCCTCCCTGCAACAAAGCTGAGTAAAGTGTCTCAGCATAGCCACTAGGTTCCCAAAAGCCAGCTCATGCACTAAGGACAGGTCCTGGTTTTACTGCCTGGGGTCACCCTAAGCAGTTCAAGCTAAACAACTGTTTCGCTTATCCAGAGGCCTTGTCAAGTACCATGGGGGCTCCTCAGCTATTGGTTCACAGTTCATGTGTTTCCACTAGTTTGGCTAGTTGTCTGTACTTTTTCCATTCATGGTCTCGATATCTCTTGCTATATAATCCCTCTTCTCTCTCCTTGATTGGACTCCTGTAGCTCCACCTGAGACTTGGCCGTGGATCTCTGTATCTGCTTCAATCAGTCACTGCATAAGGGTTCTATCATGACAGTTAGGGTGTTCAACTATGTGATGAATTTCTTGTGCTCATAATTCCCATAGAACATGTATGTGTGAGCATCCTTCTCAGACCAGTATTTGGGTAAGTTCAAATAGGCTGGGCCTTCTTCCTCTGAGCTTACTGCTCCATTTCAGCATTTGAATTTGGTATTAGCCTTTTGCAAAATTCCTATTTAGCTAGGGCCAGCCCTAATCAAAGCACTGAAGGACTCGCAGGGGACAGAATAGCTGAGACCATCCCTTGTCTTCAGGCATAGTGGCATTCCAGAGCAATTGACTGAGAACAAGGAGGTTTTTACATATTCAGGTAGTGTGAAAGTGATAGGCCACAGACCCAGGGTACTAACTTCTCAAGGGGGCACCCCAAGAAGCCAGACTCCAGTCCAGTTGATGCAACAGCAAGAGGTGTTTATTGAACATCTGTACAGACAGGCAAACTCTGCTCCTAAGAGCAAGAGTCACATCTTACTGCAGCCCCATGGAGGCTTTTAAAGGGAAAACCCACAAAAGCCATAAGATTACAATTCCCATACAAATTTGTTTCATGAGAGATCATGGTCTGGTTACAGAGTGATCACAGAGGGGGTACAGTTGTCAGCATGCACATTCTTCCTGAAACCTCAAGGGGGGTATCAGGGCAGGAGTGGAGTTTACACAAAGGTCACAGTGGTCCTTCCTGGAACACCTGCAACTATCCCAGTCACAGTTGAGCACATCTCTTAACAGAAACCTTTTTACATTGTTACATTGTGGCGGGGATGGTTGAACAATGGCTGAGTCAACTTGCCCTTGGAACTAGATTTTTAGTTTCTCATTTCCTGAGGCTGGGGGGGGGGGGCGGCGTGTAAGCCTGAAGGGTTAGGGTCTTTCATAAGGTGGAACAGGATTCCTGGAAGACAGACCATGTGACCAGAGAGAAGGAAGGAAGGCAGAGATTCTGTAGAGGATAAGGCAGATCTCTTGTAGAGTTTTTTGAGAACCAGGAGTAAGGAGCTAAGTAGGAGAGATGGAGGACAAAGGAACGGAATGAAGATGAGGTCAAAAGCATAGGAGCTTACTAAAACAATGAGGACAGGAAAAATAGGTACAGAGAGGTGGGGCCCCATCATCTTTCTGCAGACTTCAAATTCACATAACATCCTCTATATTAAACGTCGAGGTTTAGGCAGTGGTAGCACACACTTTAAATACTAGCATTCAAGAGGCAGAGATGCATCTCGATCTCTGTGAGTTCAAGGCTACACTGTAAACAGAGCCAGGCAGTGGTGACAGACACCTTTAATCCCAGTGCTTGAGATCTCATGTCTTGCTTGGGAAAGACATATGCCTTTAATCCCAGGAAGTGATGGCAGGGAGCAGAAAGGTATATAAGGCATGAAAAACAGGAACTAGAGGTTTTTTTTTTTTTAATTTTAAGATTTTAGGCTTTTGAGCAGCAGTTCAGCTGAGATCTACTCGGATGAGGACTCAGAGGCTACCAGTTCATGGAAACATGATCGGCGGAGAAGTTGACGAGGAGATGTTAGTTGTGGCTTGTTCTGCTTCTCTGATCTCTTTCAGGCTTTAACCCAAATTTCTGTCTCCATGATTTTTATTTAATCAGACCATTTAGAAATTTGTCTACAGAAAGGAACTGAATGTGAGGATGGAGCTGAGCTGTATAGATAGAATTTTGTCAAGAGGAATACAGTAAATGGTCAAAGAACTGGTGAATCTAGATTTATTAATCCGATGTTGGTAGTGTCTCTCAGGGCCCCTGGGAAGAGTATTGTTAAGGCTGGTCCATGAATATTATTCGAGGTCATATCCTCTGGAACTGGAGTTACAGGTGGTTGTGAGCCATCGTGTGGGCACTGGGAATTGAAACAGTCTTCTACAAGAGCAGCAAGTTGTTTTAACTGCTGAGCCGTCTTTCCAGCCCCTTGACATTTCAGATACAACTGTACTAAGTAAGGCTCAGAAGTGTTCAGATTTGTTTAAGACTCATGTTGAACACACAGTTACCACAAGGCTGGAATATAAGTGTGACCTGAAAGCCCATGTTCTGAATTCTGGCAAAGACAATCCTTTCAGATGCTTTAAACATAAGAATCCAAAAATATCAGGATAGGTTGACTTAAAGGGACTCTTAACTTTATCATTTGTTCTCTTTAGGCCCTAAAAAAATGTGTGACTGTGGTGGCACACACCTTTAATCCCAGCACATGGAAGGCAGAGGCAGGTGGATTTCTGAGTTTGAGGCCAGCCTGGTCTACTGAGTGAGTTCCAGGACAGGCTCCAAAGCTATGCAGAGAAACCTTGTTGGGAAAAACAAAAACAAAACAAAACAAAACAAAATTTTGGAGTTTCTAAAAGGAAGGCCTCAGTGAACACTTACCGATGGAGAAGGAAATTAAAATTGTATCAAAGTGCCCTGCTCCACCAGCTCCACACAAGGCTTGGCAATTGGGAAAGGAAGGTCCTGGGTCTCAGTAGGCCCTGACCCAGAAGGAAGCAAGGTTCCCCCTGAAGATGATGGTTCCAGTGACCTGGACTTGGAACAACTCATGGAAGACATTGGAGAGGCAGAGGGGAGAGGGGAGTCGCAGCAGAGGGATGGCTCAGAAGAGTTCCTGGCGGGCCTCTTTGAGGAGTAGTGTGCTCTGGTCCTTCTACTGCTGACTGCCTCTCAGTGATCCTGAGCAGATATTGAATGTTGGGGTTGGTGACCTGCTCCATGATTCAGGTCAGAGCTGTGCATCCTGGGTAATAAAGCAGGTCTCTGGGTCCACTGCTTAAGCTATACTTCCTTTCATGTCACTATGGCAACCTGCCTTCTCTGGAGGGTGTAGGAGGCTGGGGACAGCAGCAGGACCCAGGATTGGGGAACCTTCAGAAAAAGCATCTCTGTGGTCTTGAATCCCCTACTTCCTGGGGGCGACATGGCCTTAGGAAAGCATTGTGACCATCTGGTCTTTAGTTCCCTGTCTCACACCATCTATCTAGGGTTGCTGCTGATGTCCAGTGTGGTGGTCCAGGGGAACCAGTCACTGTGTGCTGGTTATTACCCTCTCAGATGTGGGTGTACATTGTGTAGACTGGCTGCCAGCATTTGGGGCATCCCCTGCCTTGGGCAGCCAGAAAAAAAGTGATAGAGGAGGGAATCTTAGAGGGCCAGAAGTTAAGGGTCACATTAGTGACTCTTAATTAGAATCATTTAGGCAAATTCTGTAGATTGTTTTATTTTTGTGAGAAAGATCTAGGAAGTTAGAAAAGGGACCAGGGATTTTCTCATTTTCTCTGAGCTCAAATGCCCTGACACATGGATTTCTGTCTCTGGCCATGGGTATCAGTGACCCATGAAATTTTGTCTCTGGCTGTGGGTATCTGTGGAAGCTGGGAGTCTTCCTACTAGAAGCACAGGTGACTCTGAGATCATCACCCAGACCCACTCATTTGGTCTTTACGATGGAGTACAGAGTCTCCTCCTGGGGGTTCCCATGGACAGGCGGGCAGGGTGGTGTTCCTGGGGAGGCTGGGCTTGAGCGGGCAATGGAGGCGTACACGATGTTGTTATCCTGCGGGGACAAGAGGTTGGATGGCAGCAGTGCAGCTGTGGCCACCATAAAGCAGCACCTGCAGCCTGAGTGTCCTGCCCACACCTGCAGCAGCTGCAGCCTGAGTG